GCAAAGCCATGGCAGCCCCTCAGCATCCCAGGTGCTCTGCTCCTTTTGCCCAGATGCAGCCCTTGGGACCTGGATTCCCAGGGCTCCCAAGGGATGTCCCAGCCTGTCTTGTCTCCTCCCTGCCAGCAGCAGGGTGTGTGTGTGTCTGCTGCTCCATGGGGGCCAGCACAGGTCACTCTCCCCAAATACCACCAAGTTTTTCTCCCCAAACACCACCAAGTTTTTCTCCTTAAAACTGCAAAAGGAGCTGTTTGTTTTGCAAGGGGAGTGTGATGGATAAATCACTGCTCAGTGAGAGCTGTGCAGCCAAGGGCTGGGTGAAAACCCACGGGGTGCAAACACCCTCAGGAGTCACTGGCACTCAAACTTGAGCAGAAGGCTCAAGGCTTGGGGTTTGCTTTGAATCAGAACTGGTGCCTTTGCAGCCTTTTCCTCATGGGTGTGCCAACCATCAGCCAACAGGCAAAGAGGATGTGGCTCCATCTGCCAGTGCTGATCAGAAGTGAGGCCACTGGGATCAATGCAGCTGTGCCAGGATGAAGCTACATCAATCCCTTTTCCATATGGATCCTCTCTGCCAGAGGATAGTGATTTCCCTATCATTGGATTTGAAGTATGATGTAAAAAAAAATTAAAAAAGAAAAAGGGGGCAACACATGGTTAGAAAAGCGCCCTATTATAAGAGAATTAAAAATAATTTTTCCTTTAAAAAATAATAAAAGCTGTAATTCTTGGGAAGTATTTCTAGGCCAGAAATACCCCTGGTGACCAGGGTTAAACAGGGCATAAAGTCATTTTGCTTCTGACTGTTTCTGAAGGCAGTGGCTTCAGCACAAGCTCAGAGAACCCCCAGATAAGGCACACACACACCAGTTCAGCCCCTGTCCCAACTGGGCAAGTTTCCCCAGATCCCAGTGCTTCTAAGTCAAATGAGCTCACTCTGCAAGTTTCCCTACTCCTGTGCAATTACATTCCCATGTCAGCGAGGAGGGAGCCAGTTAAGCATGGATACACAGTCCTTTTAAAATGCTTAATATTTCTAGTTTCACTGTAATTATATCCTGCAGATAAAAATGGTGCTCAAGGTCAAACAAATCCTCCAGGAGAATATGCACTACATGGAAACTGTTTGGGTTTTTTTTAACTGGAAAGGTTGTATAAATACTGCAGATTGAGAACCTATAATTATCCATTAAAATCACTCTGAGACTGCTGAATTAATATTTGTCTATGTTCAATCTCTAGTCTCATATTTATAAAGTTTACATGTGCCCAAAAATCAGCTCAAGCAGGAGGCAACTGATCAGAAATACTTTTTTTCTGGGCCTTTCCTTTGGCATTAGAGCGTGATGTTCTTCAGAGAAGCAACTCCAGGGATGGGGGCTGGGCTGGGCCACCACTATCCTGCAGCCAGTCCCCACCAGCCTCTCTCCAAAGGCAGGATTCACTGCCCCATGTCCTCCACAGACACATCCCTGTGTTGCCCCAACAGTGCAGGGCTGCAACAACTCAGCTGAGAGAACCTCCCTGCCTGGGAAAGGATTCCACACCCACCACTCCCATTTAGAATCGTGCAACCATTGAGGTTGGAAAAGATCATGTCCTACCATCAACCCCATCAAATTCACCATTAAACTGCCTCCTCAAGTGCCATATCCACAAAGTCTCTGAACACTTCCAGGGATGGTGACTACGCTTCCTTGGGCAGAGCTTTACAACTCTTTCTTTGACTTTTTTCCCCAAATATTTAACCTAAAACTCTACACATTTGCAATGGCTCTGATGGTTGTTGCCCAAGACTAATCCCACTGTTTGGTGCAACCTCCAAATCTGCCTGGGGATGGAGAGGCAGCCTTTGCAGTTGTCATGCAGGGATAAAGGGGACAGTGGTGGCTTTTACTCTGGAAATACTCCTCTGGGAGCAAGGAGCAGCACAGTTACCCACCAAAGCCCCCAGCTCCACTCTCCTCCAGCCCTGCCCTGCTCATGCACAAACCCCTGGAGCAGCCCCAGGCAGGGAGCTGCCTCCCCTGACTCCTCAGAGAAGCAGAAAGAGGATCCAGCTCCATCCTTTGCCTCCCTTTGTCCTCCAGAGGTTGTTTGCCCAGGAGAGGAACAGGAGGCACTTGGCACAGGCCCAGCACTGATGGGCTTCTCTCAGGGGGATGAAGTTTGCTCCCCCACCAAACACTCCTGCTCAGGGGTGCCCACAGCCAGGAGAGCCAGGGTGAAACCACGGACAGCATCGCTGCCAGCAGCGACCTCTGTGCTCCCCCCAAATCCTCCCCTCGTTTATCCCAGTGACCCAGGCCATGGAACTGCAGCAACTGAGCCACTGCTTTTGTCCCCAGCACCAGCAAAGCCATCCTGGGGCTCAGGACAAAAGCACTGCCCCAGAATGGGGTTTGGGGTGAAGAGTTGCAAGACCCAACCTGTCACCCTGCTCTCCATCAGCACCTCCAGACCTGAGGAGGGTGACATCTGTCTGTTCCCTGCAACTCTGGCTAAAAAATACCCACAAGAACTGGGAGTCACTGGCATCACCGCCCCTTGGACACAGTACCACAGGAGCAGGTCTCAGGGCACCTTTTTGGTGGAGGCTCACAAGAGCCACCAGCCAGCAGGGGCTGCCAGAAGCTGTATGTATTTTGCTTGGATTTGAACTGCCCATGAACCTTCACCACAAATATTTGGAGGAAGGGGAGGGGGTAAAGGAAACAAAAACATTTTAAAAAATTGTCTCAGCAGTGAGAAAAACTATCAAACAACCAAAGGCAATTGAAAAATTAGGTACTTCCAAAGCTTGGTAACTTTATAACTGATGTGGAATCTGGCAGCTCGAGCACTGCTGTGCCAACCTCCTTCCCCTGCCAGCTGTGCTGAAGCCAAAGGGCAGAGGAAATCACAAACCCTCGTGCTGACCCCTCCTCACCACTCAGGAGCCTCAGCCTCCCCAAATGCTGACAGGGAGAAAACCCATGGCATGGACCTGATCCATCCTCTCCCCCCCAGCCTCCATCTCTGAGCATCCCCCTGGACCCCTGGAGGCAGGGACATCATTAGCATATATTTACATTCATGCTGAGGCAGGGAGATGGGTCTTCCTTTTGGATGCAAGGATGTAAAGCCAGAGGAGCTCTGCAAGTGCCAAGGGGGTAGATGAGACTTACGGGCACCACAGCTGATCCTCTGAGCTGCCACCTGCCCCAGCCTGAGGATGCAGAGCAGAGGATGGAGGGAGGCTGGGGGTGTTATCCCAGTGGATTTGTCACTGCTTTCAATGGACACATTTACTTCCTACTGATGCACTTGGGGGGAAGGGGCTGTTGAACCTCACCAAGGCTGTTCTGATCTTTGAAATCATTTGGATCTCAGCAGAGCTCTCTGAGGCAATCCCCTCTCTGCCCTGGCCAGGCTCAGCCCTCCCATGCCACACTCCTTCCATGGAGGACAACTGGATTTACGTAGGAAAAATCCCATGTTTTCCAGCAGGGATTTATCTCCTCCAAAAGCAAACTACCATGGCTAATAAGCACTGATGCTTACACGCCAGCACCCTGGCCACAAATAAAACAAACCATCAAACACAAAATCTGTGCAAATACATCTCTGGTCTAAGCCAAGCCACCCAGAAAGCCAAAGTTTGGTACCAAAACCCACTGAGGTGCAGCAGAAAAGCCTGCCAGCACCCAAAGAATGGATCCAGCATCCATCCTGACATGGATGAAGAGCTTCTCTGGTTTAAAGGTAATTTATACTCAGCTCCTGAGTTACTAAAACCCTGCAGCCCTTTCAGCACACGTCAAAGCACCTCACTTCATATAGCAGTCCCTGAGGGTAGCACTCAGCCCTCTGCATGGGAAAGGTCTGTTCCTGGAGGATCCAGCTCCCTTAATGGAGCAGGGAGCAGCCAGCCCTCCAGGGAGGGACACAGCTCCCTGGGAAATCCATGCCAAAGGAAGATAGGGTGGAGTTTAGTGCTTTTATAGAGATTATTTGGAAAGAGAAGAACCCAAGTGAAATGGCTCTTCCCTAGGGAACTTGGGACCTTTGTTTCTCTCCAGACATGTTCAGGATGGCTGTGTGACTTGCAGGCCTGATGCTGGGTTCCCAGTTTTCCTTGAAACAGAGTTTTGTGCAGCAAAGGGAGGGGACTCTCCCACCAGTACCTCCTGCAAGACACAGACAACAATGCCAGTGCTTCTGACCATGTGGAGTGGAGGCACCTCCAGCTGAAGCCTCCCAGGGCCACGCCCATCTTCCTAAGAGCACAAGCTCTGTTCCAGACCTGACTCTTTTAGCCTCTGATTCTCCTTCTTTCCTGTCTCTGCCAGCAGACTCACAAACCTCTCCCCACTGCAAACAGGCCTGGACCAAGTGATTACAACCCACGCCAGCCACAGGTTCTCCCCCCCTGCCTTCCCCCAGGGATCCCTTATTTTTCCACTAAGAAACTCAGGGCAGTAATTTGAAGACTGACAGAAAAACTCCTTTAACTCAAAGAAAAGAGCATTCCTTCCTCACCTCCATCCCACTGCCACAGCCAGAGGGTGATGCTGACCTGATCCCTCTGCTGCAGACCCCACTCCACCTCCCCCCACCCCAGGTCATCATTCTGACCAAGACAATTTTGGCTAGACATTTTCCAAAACCTCTGGGAAAGAAGTTGTCAGCTCCACTTAGGCAAACCAAGTGTATCAGGCAGAGCTCAGAGGCTGAGGAGACATTCCCAAGGCACAGAGATGGTGGCAGCCTCAGTCTCAGAGGGGCACCCCCCATCCCTCCTAGGGTCAGGGTGGCCCAGAGGAGACAGGGGACACCTGCTCTGAGCTTGGCTTTTGGAAAGGCACACACCGAAATGTGTATGTGACTCAACATCTATATCTATATATTTTATACATATATATATATATTTATATTTATATATATATATATATATATATAAAATGGGCAGGGCTGCTGAGCAAGGCCAGGAGGGATAGGGAGAGCTGCAGAAATTGCTACCTGCAGCCACACGTCTCCACGACCATGTCCTCATACTGTTTGTAAACCACATTGTTCCCAGAGTCGATATAGAGGATGCTGATGGGGCTGAGCTTGGAGGGCACGCAGCAGCTCGGGGGGGTGGACTCGGGGTCCATGGAGTTCATCAGGGTCTGGATTATGGCGTGGTTGGTGGGCTCCAGGTGGGAGCGCAGCGGGAAGTCGCAGACCCCCTCGCAGTGATAGGCCTCGTAATCCAGGGGGGCGATTATCCAGTCATCCCAGCCCAGCTCCTTGAAGTTCACGTGCAGGGGCTTCCTGCTGCAGCGAGTCTTCGCCTTCTTCCCATGGCCTCTGCCCCCAGACCGGGCGGCAAGGGTGGTCCTCCTCTTCCTCCGCTTCAGGAACGCCTCCTGCCCGGGATCGGGGGACTCCAGGGAGGGGGGGCTGCCCAGGGCCTTGATCTTATCCCGGATCTCCTTGAAGAGGTTCTCCTTCCTCTGGGTGCGGGAGAAGGCCACGAGCAGGGCTCGCTCGTGGGGCTGCGGCCGGGGCTTGGCGAAGCCCAGCTGCCGGGGGGGCAGGAGCTGCCCCGACCGATCCGAGACGATCCTCAGCAGGAAGCACAGCAGCTTTCCCGAGAGAGACCTCTCCCTCTGATCCCGCAAGGCCTCCCAGACATCAAACACCTCCCATCTGGAGGAGCCCGCGTCCAAAATGTCCGCGGCCCTGGAGTCCAGCAGCCGGGGCTCCTCGCCGTCGCGGCCGGGGCAGGTGGCAAGGAGGAGGTGGTGGAAGGTGCCTTCGGGGGACAGGGCCAAGCTCCGGTTCTCAGGGAGGGAGCGCAGGATCCGCAGCTCCGCGCCCGTCACCTCCTCTGCCTCAGGCAGGCTGGAGATGTCAAAGAGGTACCGCTGCTCCGAGGCGGATGGGGAGGCATCTGGAAGAGATAACACAGACAAAAAAAAAAAAAAGGAAACAAAAATAAATATCGGCAAGCCAAAGCCAAGCTGTCATTAGCGAGGTGCAAGGGACGCAGAGGTAACGGGGGAGATGTCGCTGTGCAGCGTGGCTTCCTGGGCATCCCCACGGGACACAGGCTGTGTGTCCTGCATCCAGGGGCGTCACTCTGGCTGGGGGCACCAAAAACAAATGGGAAGGAGAAGGTACAGAGGGAGGGAGGAATCAATTCAAATAAGTGGCTTCTCATCTGCACAGACTCTTCTCCACATCCTGAGGAGGCTTCTCTGCTTCCTCCCAGGTGTTCCAGTGACCCCAGATACACCACTATTCTCTCAGCCACACCCGAACCTGTGCAGCACATTACCATCCCCAACCAGTGTTTGTCACCCATTTCTCCTGCCCCAAGTGTCACACACATACACATGCTGTTAAAAATTCCACTTTCCCCTCACAGACAGGCACAGACACACAGGTCTGATAGAGGCACCCACAGCAGCTGAAAGTGAGCCCAGCCTCAGTTTGGCACTATTTTTAGTGGATCCAAAGACCTGACACAGACTCGTGCAGTTTCTGGCACTGAATAAATATACTCAATTGTGAATTTAAAAAAGAAACACCAAAGGAGGTGGAGCTGGGAAGAAGAGGTGAATTGAGCTCTGGGAGGGCTGTTTTTTGTTTTCTCCCTCGTTAACGAGAAACCTGACCTGGGCATGCTGCAAACATCTCTGCTGTGCCCGGAGCGCCCCGACCCGCTGCCGGCAGAGCCCTGCCCGCCCACCGCCGCTGGGCGCAGCCTGCACCGCCCCCGGGGGGAAACTTCTTCCCCCTGTCACTTGCTGCTGCTGCTATTATCATCATCATTAAGACTATTATTATTCATTATGGTTATTAAAATTACTATTTGAAAAGCAGATCTAAAATTCCAATGAGAAGCAGATAAGAGCAGATAAGGGGATCCCTTTGAAGAGTTCATCTGGTTTCGTTTTGCGCTGAAACTTCCCAGGACCTGCGCTCAGTTTTCGCCCAGCTCTCACAAGCCGAGCACTGCCCACCCTCCCACCGGAGCATCCTCCTCCCGGTCCCGCCTCGCTCCCCGACGTTTCCCCATCAGCTTGCAGCAAACCTCCTCCCGCAAAGACTGCGGGCAGGATGCGGCCCCTTCTGGGTGTGGGGATGGCGCTGGGGGGGCTCTCCCACCACAAGGCAGCCAGCGACAGGGACGGGGTGCGGCTGCCGCTGCTTTTCAGTTTGCTTTTTCATTTTATTCGATCGGGAATGTATTACTTTCCCCACCCCCCCCCCCCCCCCAGCCGAGCGAACTTTGCCGGCAGGGCGCGAAGTACATATACACTTGTATTTGTTAAAAGTATATCATTAGCTGCGTATATGCATTTGATTGTTATTATTATTAGATTCGCAGGTATGAAGCGGGCAAAAGAGGGCGGAGAAGGGGCCGCGATGCCGAGCTCAGCCGGCGGCGCTAGCGGGAGTCGCTCCGGGGCCGAGCACCGCCGGGACACCGCGGCTGAGCTCCCTCCCTGGCCCGGCCCGGCCCGTCGCGGTGTCCCGCGGAGTTTTTCGGGCTGCAAAGGCTCCGGCAGGACGGGGATGCCGCGCGGAGGAGCTGCTCTCCAGGTGCGCCGCACGCCCCGGGCCCCGCAGCGCCGCTCACCCCGTCCTGGCGGCTGCAGCTCGCACCCCGAACCGCATCCCTTGACACCGGCTGCGTGTGCAACCCCATCGCCACCCCAGAGCCCGCTCTGCGCCACGCTCATCTCCGTCGGCAAGCCCCTTCACCGGTGCCAGGCACAATCCTTTTGCTGTCCCCATCGTCAACCCTCCTCCTACCCGTATGCTCACGCACAGCCCCACTCCCAGCCCTGTCCTCGCTCAGACTCGCGCACGGCTTCGCTCCCGTTAAACAAGCGGGATGCGCAGCCCTATCCCGTGAGCTCCATCCCCGGCAACCAGCCCGTGCGGAAACCAGCGCAAAACCCCATTCCCCAACCAACGCACACCCCTACCCCAGGCACAGCCCCGCGCTCAGACCAACACGCGAGCATCCCCTCCGTGTGCCATCACGTCCCCAAACTCACGCTCAGAGCGACGCACAACCCCGTGTATCCATCCCCACATCCACACAGGAGCCCGATCCCACGCACAACACCGTCTCCATCCCCAAGCCCATTCCGAAGCCCAGGCACCGACTTCTCTCTCTCCCGACGGCGGAGTCCCGGCGGGGCGGCCGCTCGGCGCTCCCCGCCCGGCCGCGGCTCCCCCGCACTCACCGCTGCGCGCCCGCTCCGCGAAGCCCGTCACGGTGTCGGCGCGGCGGCCGGGGGCGCGCCGGGCGGCCAGGCGCTGGTACAGGGCCACCATGTAATGATGCGGCACCACCGTGCCGTTGCGGAGAGCCCCGTCCCTCCGCGGCGGGGAGGAGAAGGGGGAGGCGGCGGCGGCGGAGGAGGAGGAGGCGGAGGAAGGCGCGGCTGCCGAGGGTCGCTGGGGAGCGGCCGCCCCGGCAGGTGACAGACCCTCCCGGACCCCCCCTTGGACCGAGCCCCGCCCGCCCCGGAAGGTGACAGACCCTCCCGGACCCCCCTTTGGACCTCGACCTGCCCGCTCCGACAGGTGAGAGATCCCCGGAACCCCCCTTGGACCGAGCCCCGCCCGCTCCGACAGGTGACAGACCCCCGGATCCTCCCTTGGATCTCGTCCCGCCTGTCCCGGCAGGTGAGATACCCCCGGATCCCCTGTGGTCCGAGCCCCGCCTCCTCCGCCAGGTGCGGAACCCCCGGACCCTCCGTCGGATCCCGGCCCGTGTCCCCCGGCAGGTGAGAGATCCCTCAAGGCACAGCCCCGTGCCAAGGCGTCACCCCGGCCTCACTGTGGGGTGGAACGGGGTTGTGTTTGACTGTGCAAGGCGACCCCAGTTCGGATGGCGGGAGGTGGAGGGGGCACCACCACCTCTGTTTGCTGAGGTCGCATTTCGGAGCGGGGACTGACCGGGAGACCACCGAAGACTGGACCGGGAAACCTCACCCCGTACTGGAGCGGGTCGCTCACCACCCCGCACTGGGGCGGGGGTCCCGGTCCTACACTGGAGATGGGGCTGTCCCGGCTCTGTTCCGAACGGAGGAACCGCCACCCCATGTTTCGGCAGAGCCTTTTCCCCGACACTGCCCGCGGGGGTGATGCCGGCGGCGGGGCCGGGCTGGGAGCGGCCGGGGCACCCGGAGCGACCCGCCGTGGGGCGGCCCCGGGCCCCAGGCTCCCCCCGCACCCCTCCGAGATGCCCCGGGCTGCCCCGAGCCTCCATCGGCCCCGGTAATTCCGACCCGGGAGTCCGACACCGGAGCAAAACAAAGACCCAGCCGGGCTGCGCGCTGATGTTTTCCCTCGCGCGGAGGGTTTCCTTGGTAAAATTCAGATGTTTCCTTGGGTCTCGATTAAAATAACAAAGTGGGGTATTTACTAGGATGTTATTTCAAGTCTCTTAAGTCCCTGGTTATGTCTGTTGCGATTTCTCCGCAAATACAAAAACAAGCGCTGCGATGATTTATTTGAAGGAATGCAGGTGTTTCGCCAAAACAAACACGGCTTTTTTTTTTTCTTCTCCCCCCCGAAACAATCACTTCTCACGAACATTTGTCACTGCAGGCTCTTGGATTTCTTTCTGCTGTAATTTTACAGGTGTCTTGTCACAGTATTGTGAGCAGGTTTCTAATGCCAACCAGTGGCTTTGCTCGGTATGTACACAGACTGCGACGAGACATGGACGGCATCCCAGGACACCATCCCAAGAAAACCCCATCCCAACAAACTCCTGTCCCACGCAGCGCTGGATGGCCAGGCCTGAAGCCATTTGCACACCTTGCACAGCACTTGTAGAGTTTGCACAGCCTTTGCACAGGGTTTGCACAGCCTGCACATGTTGCTGGCATGGCTTGCACAGCATTTGCACACTCAGCGTGCTCACACGGGGCCTTGCACACACCACCCCCAGCAGTCAGTGACCCCCGGGAGCCTAACCCAGCTGGGGCAGGAGGCAGAGGAAGGGCTCGCAGAGTAAGGCTTCATCAACTGTTATTCTTCTGTCAGTGCCTTATTAAATCCAGCCTGATGCTGTTCAGATACTAAAGGTAATTTTTAAAAACCATCTGACAAGACCTCTCATCCCTGCGGCCTCACTCCCCCCTGGCCAGGGTGCTGAGACTCCACCCAGGAGCCCTCCCAGAACCAGGACATGGCAGCAGGGCTCTGTGCTCAGGGCGTCTCTTCCCAAAGATGGGAATGCTGAAAAGCACTGTCTGGTCCTGTCCCACTTAATCTCGCCTCAGAGAGCAGCCCCAGGCTCCAAACTGTGCTCCTGATGCTCCCACTGCAGCACATGGCAACACTCAGTGCTGCCCAAGGAAGGGACCAAAAGGGTCAGCAAAAGGATGGAAGGATGATGGGGTGAGAAGGACTGCCGAATGGGCAGACAAGTCTATCCATAAACCTCCAGGCTTCCTGCAATGGTTTCTGGAGCATCCTGCCTGGAACCATTTCACTCAGTCAGTTTTATGGGAAACAGTGAAAGGTACAAAAATGGTGAGTGTGGGCCCCAGTCCCACAACCTTTCAGCCTCAAGCCCCCAAGTCTGTACATCCTCCTGCAGGTTGGGGTGCATGCAACTGCCACACATGTGGGGCCCAAGCTTCACCAAATTCCCTGGGACTGGAACTGTCACCGTCACTGCATTTTTCATCTGTATGTTTCAAAAATTAAAGTTACACTGATGCAACAGACAGCTGTGCCTCCTGTTTGTTCTTGCCCCACAAATTTTTTTGCCCACAGACCAGTCCTCAGCTCCCAGTGTGGGCACCAGGGCCAAATCCCTGCCTGCTGCAAGCTGAGCAATAGATTCCTGTGCATCAATTTGCACCACACCATCCTTGTCCCTGTGTGCAGCTGTCCCCATGACAGAGCCTTGTGCTGCTGGGTGACAAGAGGCAGATCCCTGTGCTCACTGTCTGTATGGAGACCCAGGCACAGGCACACAGACTCCCACACAGCCCCAGTGACATGGACACGGGTCTGTGAGCACCAGAAGGCACACACAGAAGGCACACACACACACACACACACAGGTACCCCAACGCAAGCAGCAAATCCTGCCCAGCCAAGCTGGAGGGTAGATGTGAAATCCCACAGCTCATCCTCCCAACCACACAACGTCTATCGAGATGCACAAGCACTGACTTTCCCATCTGTTCTCCATTGCAGCCTCATTTAAACCCTTTTGGGCTTTCTTGAATTTCCATCAGCCCAGCCCAGCCCAGCTGCAGGACCTTCCCAAGCCTCCTGAGCCCCGCACAGCAGCACAGCAGCTCCTACCCCCAGTCCTTGCCTGTGCTGGGGATGGGCTCCCTTCTCTCCCACTGCAAAACTTTTGTGCATAATTTCACCCTGGCAAAAAGCCACCTTCTACCAGCCCCCTTCCAAACCCAAATTAGCACGCTGCTGCAGCAGCAGAAATTGGAGAGGAAAGGCTGCAAGTTTTATTTTACAACTCAATTAGCAAGTTTATACAGAAAAAAACACCCACATAACTGAGGGAGATTTTATGTCCGTTCAGCTTCACCAGTAAATAGCCCAGTTCCTCCTGAGGGCACTCCCCACTGCTGTGGGCACAGCGATGTGCTCCTGCCCGTGGGGCCCCTCAACCAACGTGGTGATCCTGGCTCCAGCCCTGCTCACTTGCTCCATCTCTCTTTGCTCTTACACTTAAAAATCCTCTGGGTATCTCTACCATGGGCTGAAAAACACAGTTTTGAGACTGTCCTGACACCCTGTTCACCTGAGTATTAAATCAGACATGTGCCAAAACCCAAGATGAAGGTAAAGGGCCACATTTGCCTCTATTTTTTCCCTTCAAACCAGTCCCAAGAAAGCCAATGGCTGTATGCCCAGGAGGGATCCTGACTCCTGAGACAGCTTGCACCATGTCCCACTACAGTCTCTCCCTTCCTTGACCAACAGACCCTTCTGGTCAGGTTTCTGGAAAGAAGGGGACAGTCTTCTCACTAAGCCAGTTTTCTTACTGGGAACATTTTTTGCAGGGTGATTGCTTCAGGGTGAGGAAGGAATCATTCCTGCCTGGATGACACTTGGGCTTGTCCCCTCTGTTGCAGTCCCCCTTCCTGAGCTCCCTGTTTTTATTCCCAGCACTGCCCTACTTGCCCCTCTGCATTGCCCTTGGCAGCTGGGGACCTTTGTGTGTGGAGCACTGAATCATTTCCACGCTCTGGGGTTGAGTCCTGGCCATGGTGAATCACCCTACCATGGCTACCTCCTCGTGTACAGCTGTGGGCAAGGTCCCAGCCTGCAGAAGGGCTGTCCTACTGATGCTCTTCAGCACAGGAATGAACTTGATTTAATTAGAACCCCCCCAGGCATGGAAGACCACTTCTCAAAGTAGGAAACTGAGGCAGAAGGGAAATCCTCAAGGAATAACCATGGGCCTCATGTCTCAGCTACATTCCCAGAGCTCTGCACCTTCACCTCACCTTCCCTGCCATCAGCCCTTTCTGATGGAACCGAAATAAGCTGCAGTGACAAACCTCCTCCACACTTCAGAACTGGAGGTGTTTGCAGCTCTTTCTGTTAGCTGAGCCAGTGGGGCTCCACCAGATTTTCACATCTTGAGCAAGTCCAGTGATCAGGCTATTGATGCCAGTGGCTATTTGGAAGAGTGTGTTTTCATGTAGTGACCACACAAGAAGCCTCTTGGGGCTTCACTTAACAAATGTCTTCTAACGAGATGGCTACAAGTGACGGCAGGGCCAGCTCAGCAAGTAGCTAAGCAACAGCATCGTTTTCTTTCCAAATCTTCCAGCAACTCCTTCCAAAACTTACTTAAACTGAGGCCAAGCTGAATTCTTTCTGATTGTCTGCTCAGGGATAGCCAGCGAAGATAAGACAAATCAAGGTACAAACTCCATGCATGAAACATCAGATGGATTCAAGGACCCCGTAGGCTGCTTTGCTTCAGGCCCAGAGACCTGACGTCAGCTCAGTCTGGCTGCCTAAAGCTGTGCTTGTCTCACATCACTTTCTATTTGAGCAATTTGAGCACTGTGCTCTAGCTAGGGGACAGGAAATGCTTTGTGGAAAGTTCAATCCTTCTGGAAACAAAAAAGCTTCTTGAAAAAGGCTTTCCAATAGCCCCTCAGGGAAAATTGTCCTATTCAGCATCTGGTGGACAGGGTCTGGCATAAGCCACCTGAAAATAGTGAGTCAAAACACAACTGAGTGCTCAGTCAATTAAAAAAAAAAAAAAGCTGACTCTGCTTTTTGAAAAGTGCAGCGTCAGCAAGTAATTTGTCAATTCACCAATCACAGATGCTGGATCATAGTGGTGACTCACCCCAAGTGTCCTCACGCTGGTAGTCGAGGCCAGCGTCTAGTTGGAAGGGGTGGGATTCACTTCCCTTCATTTTGGGTTTCTTTTCAGTCTAACCACCTTCTCCCCATTACTAGTTCCTGGAGGGAGAGCAGTACCTCCAGAAAGCAGTTCCTACAGCATTAACACAGAGCCCAGCTGAGGCAGCTGTCACAGAGGTCAAGAAAGCTGTCAGCTGTCTCCTCCCCACCCGTGGATGAACATGGTGCAAGGGGAAGCATTGTCCTACAGCTCTCCTCAAGCTCTGCTCCATGATTCCTTATTCTTATGTATTAAATCCTTTGATCTCCAGTCATTTTTTCCTCTCATCAGTTTCCCATATCACATCCTCCCCAACTTGTCCTCCAGCTCCCAGTCCCTTTGTCAAGACTCCTCAGATTCGAGGGCATCAGGGAGGAGACGGGGAGACCTGGCTGGGAGGGTATTTGCCAGCAGATACCTAGGGGAACACCAGAAAAGGAACGGAGTACCTCACCCTGATCTTTTCTGATCTTTTCCTGATTCCTTCTCTGCCCTCTCCCCATCCTTTCCAGACAGTGCTGCTCATGACTGTTGTGTCAGGCTCACTTCTCTGCCACTTGAGACAGAATTTCTCCATACAAATACCAAGTTCTTTGCTTTCCATCGCAATGCAAAGTCTTGCCAGCAACTCCAGTTATTGATAATAACTCCAATAATAACTCCAGTTATCTCACTCATAACTTTC